AAAAATAATAAAGTTTTCAAAGAATTAGGCAAAAAAAAAAAAGGAAAAAAAAGTATGTAAATTTGCAAAGGCTGACTATGAAAAAAAAATTGCAAAAACAAAAGCATTAATTTTTAAACAAATAAATAACATTAAACAATCTTCAAAGCATTTTAAAAAACTTTTCAAATTTGCTTTTCTTCTTCCCGCAGTATTGTTTTTCATTTCTTTGAACAGTTCAAAAATATACTTACAACTGGTCAAATCAAATAGGTTATTTTGAAAAACAGTTATCAAATTCAAAAAAAAAAACAACAACAACAACAATCTGAACATTGAAGAACAAAAGAAATCAGAAAAAAAAGTGCATTTAGCTGAATGCAAACATATTATTAAACAATAAATATTTAAGTATACATCAATTATATCATTGCCTTCCTTCAGCAGCAATTACCCTTTAACCCCCCCCCCCCCCCCCCCCCATCCTTCTCCCCTCCTCTCCCGTCATATTTACTACTGCTGTCGTTTTTTCTTTTTAACAAATCAAAAAAAAAAAATTTTTTTTTATACAGATCAATTTGCATTTTTTTTTTCTGTTTTTAGCTTAGCTTCTTACAGCAACTGAGATGCATAAACAAAAAAAAAAAAAAACAAATTTTCAACAAGGGTTCTCTCGATAATACCACAATTTAGATGCAGTTATCAAGATTTTTTTTTTTGGCTAAATAAAATTGAGCTGGTTTATTCTTTTTTTTTTCTGTCCCCTCTTTTCTATTTGCAACAAAAGAAGAGCTGAATAAGCACTTCCTCTTTTCAAAAAAAAAAAAACTTTAATATTTCATGTTCAGATAGAAATTATTCAAAAAAATTATCACCCTAGGCCTCCTCCCTTTTCTTCCTAGCTTTTCAACCTTCAACAACTGATATGCCGTTGGTCACCAGTGTTACCCAGTTTCCTTCCTGCTACTTCCATTTCCCGTCCCCCATCATCTTCCACTTCCTTGGTAGACCGCCGAACACTTATTTTATATATGTGTACATTTACAAAAAAAAAAAAAAAAAAAAGATATTTATAATTTAGTTATTTATTTACTTTATTTTTTTACTCTACCTATATTCTTTCAATTTAAAACATTTCTAAAATAACACCTGAAGAAACACAATACGGTTTACTGTTCGATACATTAAGTTTTGGTAGGTAAGTTGAGCAGAGAAGAAAGCTGATTTTTTTTTTTTCGTTGCTGTCAGACATACAACAGCAAATATTTAAGACAATAATGATAAAAAAAAATAAAACAGCAAGAAAAAAAGAAAAGAAGTTAAAAGAGGGATAAAGTTGAACAAAAAAATAACAATCAAAATAAAATAGACGACAGCCATCAAAGAAACACAAAAGAAAGTTGTAAAATGACACAGAATGAAAATTGAAACGATTAACTTACCAGATACCAACCAAGAACCAAGCATGAAATCTTTCACCAACACGAGGTAGCGTTAAAACGCATAATGCAGAAAATAGAATTAACGTATCCGAACATGACAGTATTGCCAGATACCAGTTTATTGATGAACTGATCATCACACGATGAGTAAATATTCGTATAGAAATTATATTTGCAAAAAGTCCAAAAAGAATTACTGGTAATGCGATGAAACCCATAACTCGAATTTCAGCATCACCATATGAATCGTAGTTTGGATGACAACCGCAAAATGCTGGCATTTCACCGCAGTCAACAACAGCATCTGTTAGTCCTAATGTTGTAGAATCATTTGTAATATTTGACGACAATGGTCGCCAAAAATTAGTATCCGATGATGCATCAAGATCGGATGATTGTTCAGATGCAGCAGCAGCGGCAGCAGTAAACGAATAGTTTAATAGATCAGAAGTTGCAGTATTTGTCAGTAAATTTTCCACGTCATATGTTGACGAAGACTGTATCATTGCTTGAAAATCAACAATTTTATGATCATCCTGTTCAACAGTAGCAACCTTTAGAGGCTCATCAAACAAAAATGACATGCGTAAAATTACTTTGTAACGCCTTTTTTAAAGTCGACAACAAGCAGTCGTAGTTGTGGACATTCAGGACTTTAACCAACCCCCTAAACCGGCAAAAAAAAAAAAAAAAAAAA